GAGCTACACTAGGTCAAACATCAGCACCCCTGGGACAGCAGGAGCTACACTAGGTCAAACATCAACACCCCTGGGACAGCAGGAGCTACACTAGGTCAAACATCAACACCCCTGGGACAGCAGGAGCAACACTAGGTCAAACATCAGCACCCCTGGGACAGCAGCAGCTACACTAGGTCAAACATCAGCACCCCTGGGACAGCAGGAGCTACACTAGGTCAAACATCAACACCCCTGGGACAGCAGGAGCAACACTAGGTCAAACATCAACACCCCCTGGGACAGCAGGAGCTACACTAGGTCAAACATCAACACCCCTGGGACAGCAGGAGCAACACTAGGTCAAACATCAACACCCCTGGGACAGCAGGAGCAACACTAGGTCAAACATCAACACCCCTGGGACAGCAGGAGCAACACTAGGTCAAACATCAGCACCCCTGGGATAGCAGGAGCTACACTAGGTCAAACATCAGCACCCCTGGGACAGCAGGAGCTACACTAGGTCAAACATCAACACCCCTGGGACAGCAGGAGCAACACTAGGTCAAACATCAACACCCCTGGGACAGCAGGAGCAACACTAGGTCAAACATCAACACCCCTGGGACAGCAGGAGCTACACTAGGTCAAACATCAACACCCCTGGGACAGCAGGAGCAACACTAGGTCAAACATCAACACCCCTGGGACAGCAGGAGCAACACTAGGTCAAACATCAACACCCCTGGGACAGCAGGAGCTACACTAGGTCAAACATCAGCACCCCTGGGACAGCAGGAGCTACACTAGGTCAAACATCAACACCCCTGGGACAGCAGGAGCTACACTAGGTCAAACATCAGCACCCCTGGGACAGCAGGAGCTACACTAGGTCAAACATCAACACCCCTGGGACAGCAGGAGCTACACTAGGTCAAACATCAGAAATGAGAGTGAAAGAAGAGAGGGGGAACAAAACGTTGTTGCTTCAGATTCAGAACATGAACCGCCAACTGTAGTCCACAGAACAGGGAACACAGGTGTAGAAAATAACAGCCAATAACACGTTCAGACCATGCAAATAAAGTAAATCATGTTATTGGAAAAAGTTCAACGAGGAAGATTTATCTCGGTCTCCCTTTTGATTGCGTTTGACACTTGGCTATTTCATTCAACTTTTCTGACTATAACAATCCTTCCGTACTTAAAGGAGCAGTAAGTTTGAGAAACCAGCTCGAGATACACTTTGTTATATTCCATGGAATGCTCTTAACATGTTCAGTTAGCATATATGCTAACTGAACGTCGAGCATGTCAAGCTAAGATATATATATATATATATATATAGCAAAATAAACACAATTACACTGCGCTAAACAGCCACATCGACAAACAAACGAGAACCTAAATAGTATGTAATTATATCTAAAACCACAATACGTTAATTACCTGTAGTCGGTGCGCCATATTAGGCTTGTTTGAGACAAGCGAGACCTGCGCAAACCTGCGCAATTTCGATCAACGTCTTGCTCGTGCGTTGCATGATGGTTAGTCATTTTGTCCGACTTGCTCTGGAGGCTCGCCTTCATGAGACGTTGAAATCTCGCGGGACAAAGACGCCCGCAGCCTTGAGAGCGAGGCGCGGCGAGGCGCGGCGAGGCGCGGCGAGGCGCGGCGAGGCGCGGCGAGGCGCGGCGAGGCGCGGCGAGGCGCGGCGAGGCGCGGCGAGGCGAGGCGCGGCGAGGCGCGGCGAGGCGCGGCGAGGCGCGGCGAGGCGCGGCGAGGCGCGGCGAGGCGCGGCGAGGCGCGGCGAGGCGCGGCGAGGCGCGGCGAGGCGCGGCGAGGCGCGGCGAGGCGCGGCGAGGCGGCGCAGTTCCTCTCCACGGGCTGCGGAAGCTAAATGCTTGATGGGAAACGACTCGCTGGTATCTCGAGCTGAGCGCTCATTGGTGGTTTTTTCCACGTGCTGGTGATGAAGCTCTCCCATTGGCTGGGCAAAAGTTTGTTGTTGTTTTGTGTCAGTTTTACGTCGCCACTTCCATTCACATTTTTCATCATTGTTCCACAATATTTATCATCATTAAATTAATATCCATATATTTTATACTATACTTGCACTGCTTACCGTTTCCATACTTTATATATCTTAGCATATTCATACACACTGTTCATACTGCTCTCAGGCTGATATCTAGAGTATTCATACCCCTCACTGTTTATTCATCATTCAATTCATTCTATATTTTATTCTGTAGATTGTGCACATTACTTTTCACTTTACTGCTTGTTGCTCCTGGTTAGAAGCTATAACTGTATTTTGTTGTCTCAGTAGCTGTAATATGTGCAATATCAATAAAGTTGAATCTAATCTTGAGCAGGAACAAATGTATTCACTTAGTACATATCTGACATTAACGATTAAACACATGTGTGCATTCTTTATAAATGCAAACCGAGTCAAGCCGACTCCGGAGGTGGCGGTATGCACCTTCAAGCTGTTTACCGTCGTGTACATATAAAGAGTAGACGCGGCATCGACCGCTACTGCCTATTGGCGCTGACGAGCCGTGGGGCCGCCATATTGGACCGGTCACCCGCTCCACTCAGTGTAATCTGTCTGGCAGGCGCAATGAAGTGTCAGCGCATTTAATCATAACTCGCTGAATACAAAACTGATTTTCACGGGGGGGGGATTTTCTGCAAACGTCATATATGTAGGCATGATACCAGACACATGATTCGGCGTATTTTAATATTCATAGTAGGCTTAACAGCAATAGAATATTCTGGTATTTGATATGTTATGTATGATAGGTATTTTGCAAAAGACACACGATATATAATATAGGCTAATATATATACACACACACACACACATATAAAAAAACACTAATGGTCTATATGATAGAGAAGCAGAAGCAGATTGTGTAGGCCTACTACTCAGCTATTTTAATAAGTTGAAAAATGAAGAAACAATAATACATTATACATAGACAGAAGTTATATATATCAGTAAAAATGAATATCTATATCTATGTCAGAAAAAATGAAAATCTACATCTATATAAAAAATGTACATTTTCAAGTTAAACACAAGAACATGACACCACCCGCCCCAAACCATATTTACACAAAGTTGCTCATGAAAGTTTAAATGAGCTAAAAGCCCTGAAAGAGGACTGTTTTGCTTCTTTCTCGTGCTCCCTTTCTGCAGGTCAAGAGAGGTGAGTTTGTGCTGTAGTCTTATTTTCAGAAACACAACCAATGACAACAAGTTGGAATAATGGTTGTCGATGCCAAACTGCGTCTCCTCAATGTGTTCCCCAAGCTGAAAACATCCTCCGTTCCAATCTCCTCCCGGACGATGTAGGTGACTGTCGACACCTTTGCAGCTTGCCTTGTTGAAGCTTGGCGAATCACCCTCTCTGCAGCTCTCAGCACCTTCACTGTGCCTTGTGATGGAATCACTAGGCCACCGTTGTTTTTCAGGGCTAGAAGGTGGTAGCTCTCATCAAATGATGAAGGTACAGCATCTCTAACCAAGCTTGCACGGCACACATCACAGGACAGCTTTCGCAGAATCTGCCGGACTACAAATGTAGATGATGTAGACCAGCGGGGCATTTTCCACCAGACCACCAAACCGAGTGGGAAGATAGCTGTGGTCACTCACAACAGCCGAAATGTTGGCGAATGGAGATGGGTGCTCTTCAGCAGTTTCAGCAGAGGACATCTCTACCGCAGACAGGGACACAGTGTGATCTTGGGCTGCCACATTGCCTGTCTCACTATGAAACACCGAACCATCAGACGGCGGAAGATGGCCTGGAACTGGCGTGCCGATGGATTGTTATTCCAGCCACCTTGTATGGAAAACAGGCACACAATACATACATTACTCATAAGTCATTTTCAGAATTGATTGCAATTAAAAGAACATCAACCCTACCTGACGCTCTGATGGAATTACATAGGAGCTCCAAGTGATCCTGGCTGAACCTGTAGGTGAGGACATGCCGCTGAACTTGGAGCAGTTCAGGAATCATCAGCATCAACGTGTCGATGTTAATGACAAATCCGATGACTGACAAGTACCTGCAAAAGAAAAACATTTTATTACTCTGATCATGGCAAAACATATACAGTATACTTGTAGGACACTTAGCTAACTAGGAACCATGTAATTGCAGAACTGGGATAACTTGAGAACTAGAACACATGCAATACATACCATTTTGACACCTCATGTGCTTGATGGTGTGTAATACATACCATTAGAAGCATCTGGGACCTCAAAAACAATGAATACAAGATCATTCAAATAGAAACAAAACTGCAGATTGAAAAACATTGAAACAAGAGAACATCATTTCAACATACATACCCTCCTTCTGACACCTGCAAAACTTGATGTTGTGTAATACATACCATTTAGAAGCATCTGGGACCTCAAAAACAATGAATACAAGATCATTCCAACAAACAAAACTGAACACAGAAAAACATTGAAATAAAAGAGCATCATGTTAGCAGACAACACTAAAGGAAAACACATTGTAACAGTAGCATCATATGAACCTGATGTAGAGAACAGAGCATCTTATGAACCTGATGTAGAGAACAGAGCATCTTATGAACCTGATGTAGAGAACAGAGCATCTTATGAACCTGATGTAGAGAACAGAGCATCTTATGAACCTGATGTAGAGAACAGAGCATCTTATGAACCTAATGTAGAGAACAGAGCATCTTATGAACCTGATGTAGAGAACAGAGCATCTTATGAACCTAATGTAGAGAACAGAGCATCTTATGAACCTGATGTAGAGAACAGAGCATCTTATGAACCTGATGTAGAGAACAGAGCATCTTATGAACCTGATGTAGAGAACAGAGCATCTTATGAACCTGATGTAGAGAACAGAGCATCTTATGAACCTGATGTAGAGAACAGAGCATCTTATGAACCTAATGTAGAGAACAGAGCATCTATGAACCTGATGTAGAGAACAGAGCATCTTATGAACCTGATGTAGAGAACAGAGCATCTTATGAACCTGATGTAGAGAACAGAGCATCTTATGAACCTGATGTAGAGAACAGAGCATCTTATGAACCTGATGTAGAGAACAGAGCATCTTATGAACCTGATGTAGAGAACAGAGCATCTTATGAACCTGATGTAGAGAACAGAGCATCTTATGAACTCGATGCATAACGGAACAGAGTATCGTTGAACTCATGTCGTGAACTTTTCATGCATGAATAACAAGCACTATTTGAATAGAGCTCTTAGATCGGTGAAGTGGTGTTCCATCTGTTGTCAGTGAGCAAGTACTCCCTGGCTCTTGACAAACATGCTTTCCTCTCTATCCAATTCAAAGCACCCAAGGGAGATTTGAATCCTTTGGCACGAGGATTGCGTCCATTCATTGTGTCAAACAGCCTATAAAGAAAGATCTAAATCACTATCATTACAGTGTTTCATTAGGTATCAGATAGTTGTAATCAATACTCATCTATTCAAGATATAAAGAGAACAGAGTACTTATTTCTAAACTGTATGTTCAACATTGACTTCCTTCTCTCCATAGGCCTGCTTTGTGCTACAGCACACAGAGCTTTACCACTCTAACATGTGTGAAGGTATGTGTAAGGTTATATACACACGTTTATATTTATGAATATGCAATATCACGGTTCATGAAAATATTTACATGTTGAACAAATTGTTCCTGATGCTCAAATCACATTTTGATCAATTATTTTAAAAAACAAACATGTACTTGGTTCTATAATCACAAACTGTTTACCTCAATGAATTCTGCCGTTGCCTCAGTCTTTAAACTGAGAGTACCTAAGATCCCTGGTTGTGCGGAGAGCAACTGACACGGAGCGACTCAGTGTTTGTGCAGCCAGGGACACCCTCATCTTGTGGTTCTCAAAGTAGACATGTTTGTCTGTGATTTGATTGGCAGCATGCAGTCCGTCTTTTTTTTGCACCTCATTGAGATGATTGATGAACCTCCACTTGATCTGTCCGGTGGTCGTTGCAATTGGACTGTTTGCCTGCAGAGAAACATTCAGTCACTGCTCAAACAAGTACAAACAGCACAATGTTGATCATCACGTCCAGCCATAACTGTGCAAACGAACAGACAACAATATTTAGATACAACTTTTAGCAGCAGAGACATAACTTGTACAAATAGGTCTACAACAATCATCATTTACCTGCAACATATTACGTGCCAACTTCAGCATGTGGCATGCATCATTACAAATACTTTGTCACCAGTCGAGGGATGCGGGAAACTGGTTTGAAGTGGCTCCTGTGGGTTTCCCTTCAGCTCACACCCAAGTTGGTTGCACATGCTGACGTTGGAGGCATGCCCATCCATGGTGACAGATACCACCCGAATGCCCCGTGCATGCAGCTCCTCCAAAGCATGACTGAGAAGGACCCTTTGTGTTTCAGTTGACAGAGACTTCGTCAGGTAATATGCAATGGGAGCCTTCCAATGTCCTTGTAGGCCAACCACCATGAACACAAGAGCCTCAGTAGCAAGACTACCTTTGTAATGTATGTGGATGAGGGAGGGGAAGATTTGTAGTCTCTCTGAGGTATTTGTATGCCTTTGGACCATGTAGATGGAGTGTGAGGGCAAACTCTCTGTGGTCCTTTGAGTACTCATGGCCCTGCTTTGCCTTGAAGTCTATTTGAAGATCTGAAATTGTATGAGAACAAATTAATAAGTCCCCTTCATATAATAACAAAGGAGTTTAATAAAGAGTGTAAGAGTAAGATGTACATGCATTTCAAAGTGCTAATCTCATTCTACCTGAGTAGAAATCAAGCCTCTCTTTGAGTTCTTCATTAATGAGGTTCTTTTCCCTCAAATCCCCCAAAAGACTCCTCACTGTGGTCTTTGCCCTCTTTTCTCTTGCCATGGCATTCTTCCTCTCTCGCTGGAGACTCTCCACTCTTGCTAAAGCTTCATTGAGTCTGGCCTTAAGAGCAGTAGGAGAAGCAGGCAAGACATAGCTATGATCCTAGTAGAAAGAGGGATGAACATGGTGTGAGTGATGTTTCACTTCACACACATCACTTTGACACAACTAGAGTATGGCCCACATTCTTTCTTATAGTCATCACCTGTCAAAGCCACTGCCAGCATCATGTGTGTGTGTGTGTGTGTGCTGTGTGTGGTGTGTGTGTGTGTGTGTGTGTGTGGTGTGTGTGTGTGTGTGTGTGTGTGTGTGTGTGTGTGTGTGTGTGTGTGTGTGTGTGTGTGTGTGTCAGGAATGCATGTTCAACATGTCTTCAATTGTGTGTGTATGGGTTTATTTGTGAGTGTGTTTAATATGAGTGGCAGCAAACAAGAGAGATTTTACTTTGTCTAGGTCCATTATGATATGATGTTGAAAATAGAAATACTCACATCATTAGGCTGAGGTTGTGAGTGTGAGGTTGTGAGTGTGAGGTTGTGAGTGTGAGGTTGTGAGTGTGAGGTTGAAGCTTCTGGGTCGTCCTGAGGGGCCACAGACAGGCTCTCTTCAGCTTTTCTGGAAGTAGACGTAGTCCTGCCCTTTTCCGGCTAAAATGAAGAAGCATAATACTTGAAAAGAATATATATATATATATTACATTACATTACATTGCATTTAGCTGACGCTTTTATCCAAAGCGACTTACAATGAGTACATTCGACCAGGAAGACACAACCTTGAAGAAAACAGAATCATAAAGTACATCAGGTTTCATAGAGCCAAACATTTCAAGTGCTACTCAACTGGCTTTAGATAAGCCAGTCCTTTATTAGTATATAAGTGCTTTGTTAATAGTTATATCGCTCGAAGTGGAGTCGAAAGAGATGAGTTTTCAGTTATATATATATTAGTGCTGTCAAAATTATCGCGTTAACGGCGGTAATTAATTTTTCGAATTAATTGCGTTAAAATATTTAACGCATTTAACGCATGTGCAGAATGGCCCGCCCCATACATGCCACCAGTGGCAGCGCCAGGGTATGGCTGGCGTAGGCTACACCCATACCAAGAAATGGCTTAGCCCCACCATGAAAAATGATGTTAAAGTAAGCAAAATAAAGTCTGCCAACTCGCGCGGAGTAAATTGCACAGACAGCAGTTAGTAAGATTGATTTCAGTAGCCACGGTTTTGAAAACTTTTGTCACGTAGTGATCGTCTTCTGAATAGAACATCTTTGATAACGTGGTGTTGTTGCAGGAAGTCCTGACGGAGAATACTTTTGCTGTAGTACAGGCAGGCCCGGACTGGCCATCGGGAGGACCGGGAGGTTTCCCGACGGCCTGGCCTGCTAAGTGGCCTGCTGGCCTGAGGATTTTTTTTTGTATGTATGTATTGTGAACGCAACGCTCCGCAAATGTGGGTCTGACTCTGCCTCACAGAGGGTGACTGGCTGTCTACATGATGTGGCCTGCCGACATGGCCACTTTCATACAGATCATACACTAAAGCCCTCGATTGGTCTCTGTGTGTCATTCAAGCTTCGGGAGGGTGTGTGTTAGTGTATGTGTGGCGCGAGCGAGTGAGATAAAGCGCGCGCACCGGTTACGTGTATTGTTGTTGTTAGCATCTGGTGCTAGCTAGCTGCGCTAACGGATATAAGGAGCTTTTTCAACAACAAGTCCTCTCCTGTCAGACTGAGAGACTGATAACTACAGCTCAGGTGAGGTAAAGGACTGTTTAGATAGTTAACTTATTCCAAGTTATCTCAGTGGGTCTCAAACGGTTTGGTCACCATTTATGTAAACACATATTGGGGGGGGGGGGGGAGTGATTAGTAAAATATGCATGAATAATATTTAAAAAAAAACGTTAACTAGGTGAAAAAAGGTAAGATAAACTATTAAAACTTGTTGAGAGCTAAAACTAGTCTTTGCTGCTGCCTCAAAGAGGAGCAGGGGGGAGACAGGTGAGGCTGGTTCAGGAGCACAGACACACTCACAACTATAAATGAACCAAAAACAAATAGATAAACAAGTTTCAATGTTTTTTCATATTGGATATGGTAGCTATATTGGTTATGGCCATGTTCTTATGATTTTTTTTAAATATATACAGTTATGTTTCATATGGGTGTAGTCTCTTTATTTCCCCCTCAAAATGCACCAGATTGATGCATTTAAGTCCAACATTTAAAAAAAAACTTACCGGGGGAGCATGCCCCCGGACCCCCCTATAGGATTTGAGGTCCACCCCCACTTAAAAACGTAACCCCCTAAATAGATTTGTGCATTTTTTTAAATAGTAACCCATGTCCATATGTTTATTTTTGGGTAGTAGATTTAGAGGGCTATCACTATGGGCAGCAACGCTGTAAAAGTTGACAAATAAATCCAGCAAAATGGCACAAAAAACTGGTAGTGGCCTGGCTGGGTGTATAATTCCCGGCCTGATTTATTGTCCCAGTCCGGCCCTGAGTACAGGGGTGCACATAACTGGTACGCAGGTTATGTGCGTAATCTGAAATGCGGACCGTCACTTGTGTCACAAAGCGCATTTGCGTACCGACGTACTTGTGAAGCTTTTCCAGAAGCCGGTTAGATCACCGGACGACAGAGTCGGTCTCCGTGTGCACAGACAGGGCTGCTGTTAACGTCGGTCTGTACAACGGAATTGTGCCAAAACTACGCCAACCGGCGGCGGAGGGAGACTCCCCCCCTTCACTGGAGAACTGCGCTAAAACAGCTGATCACAACGTTCACACTATGGTCACGAAGTACTCCATAGCCGCCGCCGCCCCCCCCCCTCTGTCGACTTTCCTGAAGTACTCCCCCGTTGATAGAAATCAACACGTAATGAATTAAGACCCCACGGTTTGATGATTGATAGGTGTGTGGGTTGTCTTTCATTTTGACACGCAGAAAAAACGTTATAATAAACATAGATACTGTATGTTAAATGGATATATCCGCCTTCTTTCATTTATCTTTCCATTCCCACAACAATATACATAAATAAATGGCATATTTTGGACATAGTTCGAATGGTGATTAATCATGATTAATTAATTTTTAAGCTGTGATTAATCTGATTAAAATTGTAATCGTTTGACAGCCCTAATATATATACATACACACACACACAAACACACAGGGATAGGTATTTCACCCTGCCCTGTTATTGATAATAGAATATTTACTAATAGCCTTATGATGATACACCTACTCTTTGGAGGTGAACCGGGAAGCTGAAGATGGAGGGAATAACACCATCTCTGAGTCGGACAATCTGTCCTGTCCTGTCAAACTCGTCCTGCTTAAAATGCTCACTGCAAATCACGGATGACTCGCTTGTTGATAAACTGTTGGAGGAATGTGATATTCTGTGCTTACAAGAGACATGGTTACCTAAGCAAGATTTGGAAAGGCTGAATACACTACATGCTAATTTTCATGGAGTTGGAGAATCAACGACTGATCTCTGTGATAAAATTGCCCATGGCAGGATACCTGGTGGTGTGGCGATTCTCTGGAATAGTAAATATGATCCTTTGGTTACAGTGGTAAGATTGGACGTCGACTGGGCCATTGGTATAGAGATCAAGTATGAAAATAGGTCATTTATTATCGTAAATATTTACACACCTTATGAATCATATGAAAATGAAGATGAATATCGCAATAGAATGGCATTTGTTAACGCATACATTAAGGATAATGCCACAACCTGTGTGTTGTAGTGGGGGACTTGAATGCTGACATTTCGGATAATAAATCTCTGTTTGGCAAATGTTTACTGCATTTTTGTAACGATAATAATCTCATACTGTCAAGTAAATCTCTTTTACCTGAGAAAAGCTTTACATATATTAGTGAAGCATGGCATACTGTGTCATGGCTAGATCACTGTATATGCACAGCTGATGCACATGCTTCTCTGGACAACATTGACATTTGTTATGAGTTGGCCACTACAGATCACATTCCTTTTGTATTGACCCGAAATGTTGAAAATATTCCGGTGCTATCTGTTGATGACAATAACACATACACAGAGAGGCTGGATTGGTCAAAGTTAAGTGAGAAGGATATGAATCACTACACCTCACTCACTGACAAATCATTAGACTTGGTTGTAATTCCTAGAGAAGCAATGCTGTGCAGTGACACCAACTGTAACAATGCGCAGCATGGTAGTGATCTATGTTCTACATATGATCTTATTATTGATGTGTTAAATGCCTCAAGTAGGGGTTTTTACAACAGTCAGAAAAAGGAGCATAGTATAAAACCTGGATGGAATGAACATGTGTCTGAGCTACACTCTGCTGCTAGAGATGCTTTTCAATTCTGGGCCGAATCAGGAAGGCCGAGACAGGGGTCTTTGTTTGAACATAAACAGTCCACTAATGCCAAATATAAGTATGCTGTCCGCTTCATTAAAAAAAAGAGGACACAATGAGGGCTGACTCACTTGCCAGAAAGCTGCGCAACAATAGTTGCTCTGATTTCTGGAAAGAGGTCAAAGTCATAAACAGCTGTAAGACTCCCTTACCGTCTTCCATTGAAGGAGTGTGTGGGTCAGGCAGCATCGCAGAACTGTGGCGACAACACTATTATGAGTTGTTCAACTGTGTTAAGAGTGATGCATTTGTGGTTGAAAAGGTTGACTCCACTGAAAACGTTACAGTTAGATCAGAGGAAGTCTACAACACTATAATGAATCTAGAAAATAACAAAGCTTGTGGCCCGGATCTCATCTCAGCTGAACACTTCAAACATGCCAGTCTTAAGCTTGCTCCTCTTCTTGCTCTGTGTCTTACTGGTTTCCTTAATCATGGTGTCTTACCAGATTCCATGTTATCTGTGCTACTTGTGCCAGTCATCAAGGATACAGCTGGGAAGATTAATGGCATTGATAATTACAGACCCATTGCTTTAGCTAGCATTCTCTCCAAAGTGCTGGAGAAAAGTCTGTTGGATAGGCTGGAAAGGTATATTACCACAGCTGACAACCAGTTCGGTTTTAAAAGAAAACACGGCACAGATATGTGTATTTTTGATTTAAAAGACATTATAGCAAAATATAGAAGCCATAATTCCACCATGTTTCTGTGTTTTATTGATGCTTCCAAGGCATTTGATCGACTGAATCATTACAAATTATTTGACAAAATGTGCCAGAGAGGGGAACCCAAGTACATAATAAGGATCTTAGCCTTTTGGTATGCACATCAGACTATGAGCTGAAGTGGGGCCATACTGTGTCTGAACATTTTTATGTTGGTAATGGGGTCAAGCAAGGTGGGATTTGATCTCCTGTGTTGTTTAATCTGTACATGGATGATCTGTCGAGGAAACTGAACTTGTGTAAAACTGGCTGTGTCATCGGAGCTACTGTTGTCAACCACCTTATGTACGCAGATGATTTAATCATCTTTTCCCCGTGCAGTGCTGGCTTACAACAGCTTCTGAGGACTTGTTCCCAGTATGGCATTGATTTTAATATTAAGTATAACGCCAAGAAGAGTAACACAGGATAAAAAGGCTGTATTTCCTCATTTTATTCTCAGTAGCAACATTCTTCTTGTGTGCAGTGAGATCAAGAACCTCGGTCTTTATATCTCTGATGATCTCACAGATGACAAAGACATCCATAGACAACGCTGCAAACTGTATGCCCAGGCAAACATATTAATGCGTACGTTTCACAAGTGCTCTGTAGATGTCAAGGTATCACTTTTTAAAGCTTTCTGTACACCATTGTACAGGGCTCACCTGTGGAGTAACTACACGGCTCACCTGTGGAGTAACTACACGGCTCACCTGTGGAGTAACTACACGGCTCACCTGTGGAGTAACTACACGGCTCACCTGTGGAGTAACTACACGGCTAGAAGCATACACAAACTAAAGGTTGTATACAATGATGCTTTACGGTTGCTGCTGAGGGTACCGAGACGGCACAGTGCCAGCTGTTTGTTAACTTGAGGGTACCTGCCTGTCAAGCCCTTTTAAGAAAATTAATGTACAAATTCATGTGTCGCCTAGTAGACTCGGACAATTATGTTATTTCGATTTTAATTAACCCTGTGAAGAGTTCTACCCGGTTCTCTTCCATGATTTGGAGACCTTGGCGCAGCAGCCTCTCCAGACGGTGAGCATGTGTGGCTCGCTGTGATTGGACTGATTTTATGTTTTTATCCGTTTGTTTTTATCTGTTTTGTGTTTAGCTTTTTATCTTATTTATTGATGTGTGTTTTGTCTTTTTGTGTGATATGGACCTTGAGTCTGGAATAAAGATTGGAATAACCCTTCCCTCCTCAAAGCAACTTCCCACTTCTTCCTCATATCTTTGTCTTTGGGAAACCTTCAAAATAAAAACGGGAGATTTGAGAGAGTCAACACAAACAATTTTTAAGAAGGAGGTCAAGCTTATTTTCTTCCTTCTTCTTCCTAGATAGATTAGATTAGATTTTACTTTATTCATCCCACAACGGGGAAATTCACTTGTTACAGCAGCATATGATTTATAAAGTCTCCTTTGGCCATAAACATAATGTTTGCTGGCTACGATTTCGCTGGCGGACATCAATACAGTACAATACTATTCTATTTACAAAATACAACCAATAATAATGTTGAATCTTACTTGTGAAAAGTATCCCCCGACCCCTGTTCGCAATCGTCCGCCGATTTGCACAGCAATACGCCGCACAGTGCTCTGGGTAGAATGTCTGTACAATATGGGTAGGATGACCGGTCCAAGATGGCGGCCGTATTTCTTGCGCCCCAGCAGCCAATGCGGCGTCTACTCTTTATATGTCTATGGTCGTGTACTGTCCGCGGCCGCAGCTAGACCCTTCTCAAAAAGTTTTGTGAAGCCGCCATTTTATTATCCTTGCATTAGCATTATTAGCATTAGCATTAGCCCAGTGTGCGGTGTGTAGGCGCATTCACACCGCAGTACTTTTCCCACAAAGGTTCATGAGAACTTAGTTCATGAGAACTCTCTAGTTCTCATGAACTAAGTACAGATCGCGTTCACACCGGAATAAGTCCCTGAGGGAGGATTAGGCAAATGAGGCCGCTGACGTCACTTCTTCTTCTTCTGCTTTGAGTTTACTGGCAGGCCGCAAACCACTTCACGGCATATACTGCCACCCAGAGTCCCCGGAGTTAGGGAAGGCTTCAGTAGAAGCTGCTGGGACTCCCAGCAGCTTCTACTGAAGCCTTCCGAGTAAATCGCCAGAACGCCGACACCTCCTCATCTCCACCGCTCCCATGTTTTCTTTTGTGTTGCCATAAGTTAGTCTCTCTGCGTTTCTGCGCTGGGCTAATGCTAATGCTAATAATGCTAATGCAAGGATAATAAAATGGCGGCTTCACAAAACTTTTTGGGAATTTTACGGGGCGTGGTTTGCAATCCTTCCAGCCAATCAGACACAGGAACCTTTTCCTCCCACGAAAGTCCCTGCTCTCTAGGGACGGAAAAGGGGGTGAAAAGGTTCTCATGAACTAATTTTAGTACCGGCCCTTTTTGGTGTGAACGCGACAAAAAAGTTCTCATGAACTAAGTTCTCATGAACCTTTGTGGGAAAAGTACTGCGGTGTGAACGCGACAAAAGAGTTCTCATGAACTAAGTTCTCATGAACCTTTGTGGGAAAAGTACTGCGGTGTGAATGCGCCTATTGCTCCACTTTCTCCGGTCCCCGACATTCGGCTTCCAGCAGCTCTGGAGAGAGCTTTGCCCCTGTGGCCACTAACGCTCATCATGTCTCTGCTTTGGTTCAAGACCGCATCAGAAAGCTTTTGAATGGAGCTACTTTCCAGTTGGTCTGCCTGCTCTTCACGTAGCTCTGCATGTCGTCCTTTAGGTGCTCTCTGGAGAGAGGCACAGCTCAATCCACTCCTCCATAGTGAGACCCCCCGGAGGTCGAAGTTAACCTAAAGGCCCTGACACACCAAGCAGTCACCAGAGGACTCGCCGACGCCGACGTCGGCTGTTGCGTCGCGGTGTCCTCCTGCGTCTTGGCCATGTGTCGCACGGGAACACACCGCAAAGACTTCAGTGCGTGAGTGGCAATAACTCTCCTTACCAGCAGGCGGCGGTAGTGTGTATTCGTCATTAAAAATAGGCAACAACCGGAAGACAGAGAAGAAGAACAGACTGCGTGATATAAACAACAACAAATAGCGTGTGCAAACTGCAGCCTGGTTAGGATCCACTGCTGTCTGCCCGTCTTTGGTGCTCCACAACTACCCGAAGGGGCAAGTCTGCTGTCTGCCCGTCTTTGGTGCTCAGCTACCCGAAGGGGCAAGTCTCCTGTAGCTACCGGGTGTACTGGGTTCAGAGAGAATCCACTTCTTCCTCAGCTCTTTCTCTGAAGCACACAAATAAACGATGTAAGCATTGTGGCTAGTTAGCATGTCCAATTCATATCTATATGCAGTGCCAAACTGCACAGCTAGCAACAGCTAGCAACAAGATAACAACAAAACACAAGGTTGAAATAGCAAATTACATTTCACGTTAACGTCACTGTACGCTGGCAAACAATAAAAAGCCAACAATATCTGCTAAAGAGCTCAATTGATGAAAAAGATAATCTTACCCGAGAAACCAAGTTGCGTTTCAATCTCTCGCCAGAGTCCGGTTTTCACTACTCGGTTCGAGTACCTTTTCTCTGTGATGTCGTACAGAGCTGCCTCTCCTGGATCAAGGTCATGAGCAGGTCTTCGTTTGCGTCATTCCAGATCACCATGATGAGATGAAAATGAATAGCAGTCTGTGTGTGCCTTCTTCTTAAATCGTTTGTTTACGTCCCTCACTTCCGTTTCACTTCTCATGCACTGATTCGCTAGCTGAACAGCCAATCAGAGTGATTGCTTGGTCCGACTGCCAGACCCGATGCATGGCCGATTCAACATCGCCATGCATCGGGACAGGCAGTCCAAATAAGGCGTGTCACGGTCGACGGTGCGGGACACACCAAATTGAGTTTGGGCGACAGGACACGCTTCGTCTCCCGACTTACGAAAACAGCCGAAATCGGCCTGGTGTGTCAGGGCCTTTAAATGTTTCCATCTTATGCTTTGTAAGTTTGTTTCGTAACGGGCGAAATGTAAATATATTTATAAAAGGACAAGTCAAATCAAGCAATCTGATTGGTCGATAGCGTTTTTGCGGGCCTTTTTGATTACAGATTTGAAAACATCGCTGCTTGCTTTAAAAGTAGCACAATTCATGAAGTCAGACCTTGGAAAGTATCTAGATATCCTGCCCTAAAGCCAAAGGAACTGCACACTGAATATGTGTCGCCATCTGATGTCTGTGTCTGGAGCGCTGCGTAACAAGGAGGGTTTCTGCCCGTTACTTCTCCGCTGCTTTCTTGTTCCAGTTTGAAAAGCAAACTGTTTCAGCCCAACTGTATACAGTTAAATCGACCGGACTTCTTTCTGCAGATGTGAGCGTCCTTAACAACGGTCAATAAGTCCTTGCTGCACATTATACCCTACATGTTTCCATCTTGAGCTTTGTTAGTTAGTTAGTTTCCTAACGGACATAATGTAACAGCTGTAGCGGACGTAGCTTTTCTCAGGCGCGGAGGGATACTGACTTGTTGTGAAAAGTAACTACAATTCTACCCGTGATATACGCTCATTATATCACGGCTAAGAACCAATCAGATTGCTTTATTTGACTTCTCCGTTTTATAAATATATATATATTAGGGCTGTGCGATTATGGCAAAAATCATAATCACGATTATTTTTGGTCAATAATTGATATCACGATTATTAAATACGGTTATTCATTGACTTTGAAAACATCCATTTATTGAACTTTAAAAACAA